ACTTACATAGAGAGCTCACCAGATTCAAGACCAGGTGAAAAGACAGGGGTATGATTACTGAGAGGAACTGTTAACAGGGAACATGGGATAAAGTCTACCACACACTCACACTCCTCAAATTGCAATGTAACAATGCCCCATACTACTGAAACTGCGATCCCTGAGGTGAAGACCTCTTAGTTGTTAAATCCAATGCCTGCTTTTCAGTACTTGCTTTGTTTGCTTTTTCTGCTGAACTGGAATCTACTGACCACTAACTCATTCATGAAATTCTCCTCCCCTGTTTTTTGTATACCACCTTTTCTTGTGTGCCTTGAATTTTTCTGGTTGTTTCTTAGTCTCCTAAAGTGACTCATTTCTTATGGTTTTCCTTTAACTACTGGGCCTTGTTATCAATTGTTTTCTTACTCTGTTATCTGGTTATATCATCTACACCCATGGACTCATCTATCACTTAGCCACCAGAGATTCTGCATTATACATCTCCATCCCAGCTCTCTCTCCACTAACCCAGACTCATATGCACTCAGACTGAATGTCCCACAAGTTCCTCAAACTTGGCCATGCACTCACAGGGCAGTTTCCCAAAAGTTCAAACTAAAAGAACTGAATAGGAATTTTGGCTCCTACTTATTGCAGGGGAAATTGAGTATAGAATCTGAGTTCTGTCAAGTTAACTACCTGCTAAAACAAAAAAATCAATACTCTTCCGAGGGACACAATGGGATCCAGATTCTCTACAACATGTCCTCCAAGAAATTCAAATGACTGAGCATATTGGAAACAGATAAATGTGACCCATACTGAAGAAAAAAAGGTAATCAATGAAAACCAGCCCCTAGAGATCTAGATGTTAGAATTAAGACAGAGGAGTTTTTAAGTAGATATTACACATATGTCCAAGGACAAACAGATTCAAGGGATTAGATCTGATAGACAAGAGTACCTGAAGAACTATGGATGGAGGTTTGTAACACTGTATAGGAGGTGGTGATCAAAACCATCCCCAAGAAAAAGAAATGCAAAAATGCTAAATGGTTGTCAGAGGAGGCCTTTCAAATAGCTGAAAAAAAGAAGTGAAAGGCAAAGGCAAAAAGAAAAGATACATGGATCTGAATGCAGAATTCCAGAGAATAGCAGGGAGAGATAAGAAAGCCTTCTTAAATAAACAATGCAAAGAACTAGAGAAAAACAATAGAATGGGAAAGACTAGAGATCTGTTAAAGAAAATTAGAGATACAAAAGGAAAATTTCATGCAAAAATGGGCTCAATAAAGGACAGAAACCATATGGACCTAAAAGAAGCAGAAGATATTAAGAAGAGGTGGCAAGAATATACAGAAAAACTACAAAAATGGTCTTAGTAACCCAGATAACCACGCTGGTTTGATCACTCACCTAGAGCCAGACATCCTGGAGTGTGAAGACTTAGGATGCTTTTACTATGAGCAAAGCTAGTGGAAGTGATGTAATTCCAGCTGAGCTATTTCAAATCCTAAAAGATGCTGCTGTGAAAGTGCTGTGCTCAATATGCCAGCAAATTTGGAAAACTCAGCAGTGGCCACAGAACTGGAAAAGGTCACTTTTCATTCCAACCCTAAAGAAGGGCAATGCCAAAGAATACTCAAACTACTGCATAACTGCACTCATTTCACATGATAGCAAGGTAATGCTCAAAATCCTTTAAGCTACACTTCAGCAGTACATGAACCAAGAATTTCCAGAGTACAAGCCAGATTTAGAAAAGGCAGAAGAACCAGAGATCAAATTGCCAACGTCTGCTGGATCATAGAAAAAGCAAGGGAATTCCATAAAAACATATACTTCTACATCATTGATTATGCTAAAGCCTTTGACTCTGTGGATCACAACAAACTATGGAAAATTGTTAAAGAGATGTGAATACCAGACCACCTTACCTGCCTTCTGAGAAACCTGTATGGAGGCCAAGAAGCAACAGTTAGAACCGGACATGGAACAATGGACTGGTTTAAAATTAGAAAAGGAGTATACCACGGCTGTATATCGTCACCCTGCTTATTTAACTTCTATGCAGAGGACATCATGCAAAATGCTGGACTGGTTGAAGCATAAGCTGGAATCAAGATTGTCGGGAGAAACATCAATAACCTCAGACATGCAGATGACACCACACTAATGGCAGAAAGTGAAGAGGAACTAAAGAGCCTCTTGATGAAGGTGAAAGAGAAGAGTAAAAAGCTGGCTTAAATCTCAACATTCAAAAAATGAAGATTATGGCATCTGGTCCCCTCATTTCATGGCAAATGGATGGGAAAAAATCAGAACAGAGACAGACTATTTTCTTGAGCTCCAAAATCACTGCAGATGGTGACTGCAGCCATGAAATTAAAAGATGCTTGCTCTTTGGAAGAAAAGCTAAAAAAACACAGACAGCATATTAAAAAGTAGAGACAAGACTTTGCTGACAAGGTCTGTATTGTCAAAGATATGGTTTTTCCAGTAGTCATGTATGGATGGAGATGGACCATATGGATGGAGTGCTGAAGAATTGATCCTTTTGACTTGTGGTTTTAGAGGACTCTTGAGAACCCCTTGGGCTGCAAGGAGATCAAACCAGTCAATCCTAAAAGAAATCAACCCTGAATATTCATTGGAAGGACTGATGCTGAGGCTGAAGCTCCAATACTTTGGCCACCTGATGTGAAGAGCTAACTCACTGGAAAAGACTCTGATGCTGGGAAACATTGAGGGCAGGAGGAGAAGGGAATGACAGAGGATGAGACTGTTGGATGGCATCACTGATTCAATGGACATGAGTTTGCACAAACTCTGGGAGATAGTGAAGTACAGGGAAGCTTGATGTGCTGCAGTCCATGGGGTCACGAAGTCAGCGACTGAAGAACAAAAGATATAGAGGAAAATATCCTCATAATGAACAGGGACATGTTACATTCCATCCAGGGTCAGTTCAGTTCAGTCGTGTCTCTTTGCAACCCCATGGACTACAGCACGCCAGGCTTCCCTGTCCATCACCAACCCTCAGAGCTTGCTCAAACTTATGTCCATTGAATCAGTGATGTCATCCAACCAGTGGTTGGTGATGCCATCCATCCAGGTAGTGATGCCATCCATTTAGGTAGAGATGATCAATATGCAGATATGGGCAACTGATTCAAGGTCTAGAAGAGACATGGCAAACCCAGCCAGAAGCTACAGTACCCACTGATATCACTTTAGTTCAGATTCTCATTGTTCCTCGTGTAGACTATTAAAACAGCCTCATAAAGTATCCTCCTGCTTCTGGTTGCTATTTACTATGACCACCACCCCCAAACACACACATAGACCTTAAGCAAATCTACACTGATTCGAGAGTTAACTTTTAGAACACAGCTTTAATCAGGATTTTACTGGTTGCAAGTTGACAGAAATACAGTTTTAACTTGAGCACAAGAGGGAATTTATCCGAAGTCTCACCTAATCATACTAAGGGCAAGAATGTAGACGGGTCTCAAGGGCAAGACCAGAGACTTGAACACCAATAGGAATTTACAGTTCATTCTGCATGCCGATTGCATTCTCTCAGACATACTTCCTCCTTGGAGTTGTAAAAGGGCCACCAACAGTTTCTGGCCACACATATACAAGCTGTCCCACAAAAGTGGGACACAGTATTTCCCCCCATTTAAACTGGTGAAGAGAAGGATTCAGATTGTTCTGATTTAGATCACATGCCTGTACATCAACCCATCAGATCAACTGTGACTAGGGAGATGACAGGGTACTTGGATTGGAAGCCCAGATTAAAATGGGCATTGCTGGACAGGAGAGGAGCAGTACTCCCCTAAAATAGAGGGTTTTGCTTCCAAGGGAGGGGAAAGACCTTGGGCAAACAAAAATAATAAAGGCCTAACAGGTTTCCTGTGTTCTCTACCTCCACTGCTGGTAACCCCATTCTCCTTGCAATCACTCATGGCAGAGTTCTGGAATTTCTCTTATAGCAGACTGCCAGTTGTCCCCAATATCTGTTCTTTCTTTCCCTCCACCCAGCATTTTGCTGCTTAGAGCATGAACATGATGGCTGGAGCTCTATCCTGTACCATGGAGACAAGTGCCACATTGTGGAGATGACTGGCCATTAAGCCTTTTAAGGTTTAATTAATTTTTTTCTTTAATGAAAGAGAAATGAATTTCTATCCTGTTTGTTGTTTAGTTGCTCAGTCATGTCCAACTCTTTGTAAGCCCACCAGGCTCCTCTGTCCATGAGATTTCCCAGTCAGGAATACTGGAGTATGTGCTGAAGGAAGAATATTTCCTTCTCCAGGGGATCTTCCTGACCCAGCGATCAAACTCATGTCTCCTGTTTGGCAGGTAGATTCTTTACCAATGAGCCACCACAGAAACCTTCTACCCTGTTTAATATGTTCTTGTTTTTGGATGCCTGATAGCTCATAGCTGAACCTAATCCCAACCCCCTCGCTCCTCACATCTAATCAAGGCGAAACAATCTAGAAGTTAAGAGTGGCATGCAGTGAAACAGGTTAGAGTGGATTAGAACCAACCACCTGGACTTGAATCTAGGCTCTGTCATTTACCAGCTCTCTGACCACCTGCAAATTGTTTTCTCTCTCTATACCTCAGCTTCCTCAGGCGTAAAGTGAGGTCAACAATGTTATCTACCCCGTAGATGGGTTGTGAAAATGATGTGAGATAATTCATATAAGCACTGAGAGTAGTGCCTAGCTCATAATAAGGGCTCAATGAGTGTTAGCTACCATCTTCAGTGCCTGCCAATTTTACCTGCTAAAGATCCTATTCCTCCACAACATCCTCTGCAGCATCCTGCCTCAGCCTGATCTTTCTGGAACACTCCAATCTGACCAGGTCACTCCTTTTTGAAACTTCTCGATGACTCTCCATTATCTACAGAATGAAGGCTTAACTCTATAGGTGGGTGACCAAGGCCCTTTTGGATGAGGGACCAACTGGCCTTTTGATGCCCACCACCTGCCACTCCTTCACGATTGACCACACTCTGGCCACAGCACTGAGCTGTCTTCTGTCACCACCTCTTTACCTACCTCAAGAGTGTCAACCACTTCCACTCCCTCTCTCCTGAACTTTTTCCTCTTTTGGCTCCTGTGGCACCACACACTCTCCTGATTTTCTTCCAATCTCCCTGGCTGTTCCTTTTTCATCCTTCTCATGGGCTTCTTATTCTCCACTCCCTTGGTAAGTGTCAGAGTTCCCTCCTGAGTCCACTCCCTGCATGTCTTCTCACCAGTGAGGGCATCCATCATCAGGCTTTCAAGCTCTACCTTCATGCTGTGTTCCCCTGATCTTCTTTCCTGACCTCCGACCTGGGCTCTGGTCTCACACATTCTCCTGAAGATCACACAGACACAACTTAGCATCTCCAAAATGGAACTCATCTTCCATCCCAAACTTGCTTCTCCTCTTTGCTCTGAATCTATTTGTGGCACCACCATCAAAGCCAGAAACACTCATTCTCTACATTTAACAAATTACCAAATACCACCAAACTCACATCCCCAGTAACTCTCCAGTTTGTCTTCTCATCTCCATACTCAGCACCATTGCTTTAGTCTGGCTCTCCAGCAAAAGTTCCTTCTCTGCCTCCAGTCTCACATGCCTTCAATCCAAATAATGACATGTGCCACCAAACTACAGTGATAGTCTTAACATGCTGCTGCCCTGCTTGAAACTCTTCACTGGTTCCCCCTGCCCACTCGGACAAAATTATTCCTTTCCCCATAGTTGTTAAACACCTACTATGTACCAGGGACTATGCTTGGTATTAAGAATACAATGTTGACTACAAACTGGTCCTTGCCTTCTGCCACTTATCTGGTATGAGAGAAAAAAACACACATTAATAACACACTAAGTCTTGTGATAGATATATTCACAGAGCATCATAGAAGCAAAAGACTGAGTTCCTTGAAGCAGAGACTTGTGTCTTTCTTATCTTTGCATGCCCAACAACTGGTACCAGGTCTGATTCAACAGAGAATTGTTTTTGAATACTCAACAGATTATCTCTTGATCCTCAGTTTCCCTCTATGTAAAATGGCTCATAGCTCACATATCAAATGAATTAAATGTATGAACTCTGTTGGAATCCTGATTTGAATTAACCAAATGCAGTTTTTAAAATGAGACATCTAGGTAAATTTGAACAGTAGGTATATATTTGATAATATTAGGGTATTATTTCTTGGGGGTTTTAAAAGTGTTATAATGATACTGTGATGTTTAAATGCCCTTATTTTCTTTAGAGAAATGTAAGAAAGCATTTAAAAATGAAATTATGCAATGAAAAATTATCTGGGATTTGCCTGAAAATAATTCAGTGGTGTTGGGTGGGGGGTATCACAGAAATAAGACTGGCAGTGCCTATGTTAATAACTGCTGAAGCAAAATAAATGACAAAATAATCTCTCAGGGTTCTGTTGCCATTCAACAATGTGACTATTTACCATTTCTGATATAGTGCCCGCTGTTTCAAAAAAGGGTAGTTTTGCTTCTCCCCTTACTCTTTTATTTCATCCAGGGCAGAACAGGAGAAACAAGGCAGTGGTGTGGGAGTCAGAAGTCCAAAACGCAAAGAACTGGAAATATACTCAGCATTGTCTCTCTCTCTCCTCTCACCTGATAAAGACAGAGTAGCTTAAGCATCAGATGGCTCTCAAGTAGCCTTGGGTTTGGACATGAGTTTGAGCAAGCTCCAGGAGTTGGTGATGGACAGGGGAGTCTGGTGCGCTTCAGTCTATGCAGTCACAAACAATCGGACATGACTGAGTGGCTGAACTGAACTGAGCCTTGGGTAAGAATGGCAGTGCTCCAAAACCAGCAGAACAAGAAGGAAGAAGTCATAGCTTGAGTTTCTGTGGAGAGGAGGGAAAAACTGCATCAGATAGAAACATGAACTCTTGGCTGGAAAGGGCTCCTCTGCTGGTTGAATCCCTTTGTAGTAGTGCCACCTGGTGGCTCCATAGCATAGCTTTACCTAGTTCCAGGATGCGGTTGACTCTCATAGATCTGACTGCACTGAAAATTCTAGAAGGGAACAGCTCTTCTCAACCAAATGTTCCCTGAACTGCTCAGAGTTAAGCATAACATACCCTATCCCTCATGTACTGAAAAGTGCCTTGTATTCAATCTCGGTTACAGCACTTCTCGCTGTATTAGGATCGTTTACCAGTGGGCATTCATTCACCCAACAAATTTGTTTAAGGCATGGGAGACACAAAAGTGAACAAAACTAATTCAGTATTTAAACAGTTAAATGTGTAAACACAGAATTAAAAAACTCACCTTCCACTCTTCCCTGGTGGTCCAGTGGTTAAGAATCCGCCTTGAAACACAGAGGACACTGGTTCGATCTCTGATCAGGAAGATCCCACGTACCATGGGGCAACTAAGCCCCCACACTACGATTATTGAGACTGTGCTCTAGAGCTGTGGAGCCACAACTACTGAAGTCTTTGCACCCTAGAGCCCGCTCTCTGCAACAAGAGAAGCCACTGCAATAAGAAGTCCATGCACCACAACAAAGAGTAGGCTCTGCACTCCAAAACTAGAGAAAACCCATATGCAGCAACGAAGACCCAGTGCAACCAAAAGTAAATAAATAAATAAATTTTAAAATACTCACCTTTCCACCCACTATAAAATTAGCTTTGTTTAACATTTGTTGAACATTTACTATATGCCAGGAACTTAGCTAAGTCCCCTATATACACATCTAACTCTTACAGTAATTCTATGAGACAGATATTATCCCATGGAGGCACGGAAAGGTTAGGTAAATTGCCCAAGGTCATAGAGCTAGGAAATGTTAGGGGCTCAGATTCAAGCCTGACCTGGGGCCAGAGCCCATGCTTTAGTTAAAGAAAAATATGACTGGAGGGCTGCCCTGGTGGCTCAGTGGTAAAAAATCCACCTGCCAATGCAGAAGACATGAATTCCATCCCTGGGTTGAGAAGATCCCACATGCCATGGAGCAACTAAGCCTGTGTGCCACAACTATTGAGCCTGTGCTCTAGAGCCCATGAGCTGCAACTAGTGAGCCCGAGTGCTGCAACTACTGAAGGCAGAGCACTCTAGAGCCTGTGTTCTGCATGGAGAGAAGCCACCACAATGAGAAGCCAGTGCACTACAACCAGAGTAGCCCCCACTCGCCACAAGAGAAAGCCCGAACAGCAATGAAGATCCAGCATAGCCAAAAATAAATAAATAAATAAACAAATACAATTTTAAAAATAACTACTGGGGATTTCTTGACGGTCCAGTGGTTAGGACTCTGAACTGTACTGCAGGGAGCACAGGTTCAATCCCTGGTTGGGGAACTAAGATATTGCATGCCACACAGTGTGGCCAAAAAAGCCCCCCAAAGCCCCCCAAAATAGTACTGGGCCTCCACCCTCCCCAATGCCTGCTTGATGATCAAATAAATAAAAACCTTGGACCTTTGAAACCCAAGGAGTTAGAAAAGCTCAGGTAGTAGAATCTACTCCTAAGAAGTTAAACAGATCCAAAACTTGATTCCATCACTCTGAATCTCATCTAGTTCCTAGGGGGTCTTTCTGTGGGATCCCTGCCTTTATTGCAGCCTTCCACTCTCTGCCCCCAAAGCGAGTATTTTCTGTTTAATGTTCTGTCTCTGACCATAAACAAAAAATATAATTCTTCTTAATGTAATGGAAACATGCTGGCATTTTCAATAATATGCTATCAAATTCTAAAGATGAACTGAACAGAAATAAACAAAGGAATTGCAGGAAGCATTTAAAAACAATTTCACTTCTGAAACTACCTACATGGTTTCCAGATTTGTGCATTTGGTATCTGGATTTGTTGCTGGACTCAGATGAAAAATCTGGGGACTTCTCTGGTGGTCCAGTGGCTGACTCCATGCTCCCAATGCAGAGTTCGATCCCTAGTCAGGCAACTAGATTCCATATGCCACAACTGAGAGTTCTCATTCCGAAACTAAAGCTCCCGCATGCTACAATCAAAAGATCCTTCATGCCACAATAAAGACTGAAGATCTTGAGTTCTGCAACTATTTATAAGACTGAGTGCAGCCAAATAAATATTTTTAAAAATCTGCCTGCCTTAGGGATATATGTACAACATGATGAATACAATTAATACTGCTGTATGTTACATATGAAAGTTGTTGAGAGTAAATCCTAAGTATTCTCATCACAAGAAAAATTTTTTTTAATTTAATTCTGTACCTATATGAGATGATGAATGTTCACTAAACATTGTGATAATCACTTCATGATATACATAAATCATATCATACTGTATACCTTAAACTTTATTGCAATTATATCTCAAAACTGTAAGAAAAAATATATTGCTGCCCTTTGCTGAGCAGTTGCTTTGCACAAGGCACTGTATTTTGCATTATTGATGCATTATCCCATTGAATCTTCTCACCAAACCTGTGAGGCAGGAAGGTATTCCTATGTCACAGATAAAGATAATAGGGCCAGAGAGATTAAATTGTCCAGGATCACATAGCTAATAAGCAGAAATCCTGGGACTTGAACTTAAGCAGTCTAACATCAGTAACTGAATTCCTAACCACTAGGACATACTGCCTCCCTCCTTATTTATTTTTTTTTTTATTATTGCCTAGTCTCTGGCTTTCCCCCAGGGATAAGCCTGAGGTATATTCCTACAGTGGCTCAGTGAGGGGAATTAATTAGATATTTCAGTTGGTTACATTAAATTTAACTGCTTTCCTACTCAACACACATTTTTTTCAACTAACCAACATGCACCAATTCTTACAGGATAAGATCAAACCCATGCCTCCTGCAGGAAGCCTTCCCTGATTTCTCCAGCCCACTACTCATTGGTTCATTCAATAAGCAATTGTTTCCCCCCCTTTAACATCATTCTCTCCCAAATTCCTTCTAAAGGAATGGTCCATGTCCAATAAACTTTCTGGAGAATATGGAGAACAGTAAAGAGGAATTGGTGGCTCATCTGTGGAGAAGTTTGGCTCAAATACACCTCCAAGTTTTTAGGTGCCTATGAGCATAGAATGAAATGACTTAGAAAAGACATGTTGGAGAAAAGACAACATTAGCTCCTCTGGCTACCCATAGTTTTCACCCACTGGCCTGCTCATGATCACAGCCCAGCCTCAGTCCAGAACAGACTGTGAGTTCTCAAGACACAGGAAGAGACCATCTTCAGCATTGTCATTGTTTGTCCAAATCTTGTCTACTGCTAAGAAGTTCTGACACAAACATTCACATAAGATTGTTGTTTTAGATAGAGATAGGGCTTTCCTGGTGGCTCACATGGTAAAGAATATGCCTGCAATGTAGGAGACCGAGGTTCAACCCCTGGGTCTGATCCCTGGGTCAGGATGATCCCTTGGAGAAAGAAATGCTAACCCACTCCAGAATTCTTGCCTGGGAAATCCCATGGACAGAGGAGC